TTCTGGCAAGCCATTAGGACGAACCATCTTATCTTTGAATCCCTCTGTGTGTTTGCTCACCTCTACTTGCATTCTGTCACATCCAGACTTAAAAATTATTAGATTAAGAACTTATTAGACACGAAAGTGAACGTACGCTCGACCAAGAGGTTCGAGCTAAAAACGACCATAAAATCACTTAACCAACATTCTTCTTCCATCATAAATCACAGTCCATCAAAGATCAGAGGGTGAAGATTTCATCAGAGAAACAAAGACCCACATTCTATCACAATCAGCCATTGAATCAGTAGGGAAAGTGACAAAGACAAGCACTCCAGTGGGCAAGACAATTAAAAGAAAAGTTGGTTGAAATTTATGGTTGGCATCATGTGATATGTTTTTGTAAGTTGTAGCACAGATCATATTCTTTCATTAAAACTGCTTGAATTTGGCATTCCCATATGCTATAATCTTCCCTTCCTCAGACATAGATCTTACCCACACTGCCCCCTCCTTAATTCATGGCTTTGGAATTATTTTCCCATAATTGAGTTCATTTCTCCCTCTCCGTAAACACACTCCCGTGACTTCATATCTGCATCACGTCCTACCAACGATAGCTATGTGACATCAAAAGCATCTCAATTTTCATCTTCCTGTTTTCATTACGATCACAACTTACATGCGTACGACATGACCTATATCAATTCGAAAGCTTTCTTTTACGATATCCAAGCCATCTTGTATGCACCTCGACTATTCTCACGAGAATGTAAAGACATCTAAACTTGCTGTTCGTCTTAATTAATAAAACACTACATATCACAATCTACATGGGTACGATAGGACCTATATAACTTCAAAAGCTTTCTTTTACAAGTCAGTTTGTATGCACCTCGACTATTCTCACGAGACTTTAAAGAGATCTAAATTTGTCGTTCGTCTTAATTAACGATATACTACATATAGCAACCTACATGGTACGACACGACCTATATGACTTCGAAAGCTTTCTTTTACGATACCCGTCAGTATTCAAGTCAGCTTGTATGCACCTCGACTATTCTCACGAGACTTTAAAGACGTCTAAATTTGATGTTCGTCTTAATTAACAAAATACTACATATCACAACCTACATGGTATGACACGACCTATATGACTTCGAAAGCTTTCTTTTACAGCATCCGTCACTATTCAAGCACACTTGTATGCACCCCGACTATTCTCATGAGACATTAAAGACATCTAAATTTTCGACTTAATTAACAAAATAATACAGTAATCGGAGTTCATGGCTTCAAAGGCATCTAAATTTACTAGCAGTTGGACCAGTGTTATCAGCACAGAACAAACTCATTCGTGAAATCAAGGAAAAGCTCTAAATCAAAGACTAGACAGGAAGAGAATGCAGTGAATTGAAAGGAAAAGACGAAGAAAAAAACTGCAGAATTTCAAGGGGACCAATTGAAAACACTAAAGAAACAGAGAAATAAAGAACTGACCCAATGAATTTGAGAACCTTGCCGTCATCATCTTTGATAGGTGAAATAGTAAGCAAATTCCAAAACGGGGTCCCATCTTTCTTGTAATTCAACAACCTCCCACAGTAACTTGTCCCAGCTTGTAAAGCCTCTCGAATCTTGGCCACATCTTCTGGGTCTGTATCTGCACCCTGCAAAAATCGACTGCAAAAGCCACTCCAATTTAATCCCCACGGTTAAGAACGAACTGGGATTTGTTTTTAAGAGTTTCTATCACCGACAGATTCTTCAATAAGAAACGTAATATGAATTATCTAAGAAAATATGCTGTTCTTATGAAATCTCATTCTCCAAGTTCAAGTTCTAGCCAGAATTTTGAACAGCTCTTCAATAATTTAGTACTTCTCTTCCTCAAACTGTCAATTTCTTTCTTCAATCATTATGTTTCCGTTCGCTACTTGAAATTGAAGATAGTTCAGAACTCGAAACTGTTAATAAACGATGAATTCAAATATAGACGTATAGAAATTCGCTTGCTGCTTCTGCGATTTGAAATTGAAGCTTATTAAGAATTCCGTAAAAGGATGAATTCAACCATATAAATCGTTTCTGAAATAATGTCGCGTAGAATTTTTGTAATATTTAAAGTTGAAATTAGAATTGAAACAGAAAAAATTGGGGGAAATGGCTTGAAGAAACTCACCAATTTCTTCCGATAACTTCCTTGGATGTATAGCCAGTCATCTTGAAGAATCCAGCACTGGCGTACATAATCGGATAATCAGGTTTCGTAGCATCAGAAACCACAAATGTTTGCTGAAATGTCGACAGAGCGTCTTTCAAATCCTCAGAGACTCTCGGAAACCCTCTTTCTCTTCCCACATCGTCCGACATGTCGCCCGAACTCCGCCCCGAGTTATTCGAAGTTCTTCTCGAATTCTCCAGTTTGTTAATCGGTTCATCGCCGCCGGAAGTTCGAACTCCAACGCCCTGCGGTTTTCCAGTTTCCGTATCGGTTTTCAGTACCAATCCCCACTCGGCAGCACGTAAGGTGGCAGAGTCTACTTCGCCCGCTGATTTCGGCGGCGATTTGTCGCTGAGAATCGCCGAGATAGTCTTCTGAGCTTGTGGCGAGTTGGATTGTGGTGAAGCATTCGAATCCTTGAAGGCCATCCACGACGTGATATCCTCGCCGGTCTTACTGGTCGGAACGGCGGCGAGTCTAGTGGAGTCCGACTCCGCACTGCTACGTGGCTCCACCCAATTGGACCAGGTCGAGTTCGGCCGTGAAATGGAATTGATGGATCGCGACGTATAAGTGGCGGAGGGATTAAAAACCTCGAGCGATCCTCTCGAGTCCCGAGGAAATGGCGCGAGAGGCGACGACTTCGGCACCGGTTTTTCCAACGGCTCCATTAGCTCTCTGCATGAACATCTCAATATCAAAATATACAATTATATATATAATCATAAATTTCCTTACTTTCAAGCACTTCTGAATTATCCACTTCACTAAAAACACTAATTAATTAAACTAACTCACCCAAAAAAAAAAAACCCTTTTTAAATAATATAAATAAATAAATTCTTTAAAATATAATTTTTAATGTAAAGATAATTACAAAAGACACATTTAAAAAAAAAAAAAAAATCAAAATTTTCTTAGGTCCAATCTCGATATTATTGTTTTTACATTCCAGTCAATGTGATTTGATGGCTTTGGAGGGTAGTGAGGTCATTTCATTCGTCGCAAACTCGACTCTCCAGAAAATTGTAATATTGTCCACTTTGAGCGAATTTGATTTAGGCTTCCCCAAATTCACTCGCACCAAGTATTTCTTGATTATAAACTCATGATCATTCCTTAAATTAGCTGATATGGGACTTTTATCCAACACCTCTCCTCGAAGCGGGAGGCTCGACTCCTTTTTCTTTGTTCGACATTGAGTATTCTATTGACATGACTAAGTTTAGGGGCATGACTCTGATATCATGTTAGATGAACACGACTCTCCACAATAGTATGACATTGTTCACTTTGAACATAAGCTCTCGTGACTTTGCTTTAAACTTCTGACACATATATTTTGGAGAGTGGTATTGTAAAAATAAATTAAGTGGGTAATAGTCTAAGTCTAAAACATAATAATTAATATATATATATTAATAGGTATAACAAACCCAGAAATGAAAAACGTACAAAAAGACAAAAGAAATAACATTTTTTTTTTTTAATTCCAGCTAGGTCGATGTCTGTGAGGTTCAGAATTTTTGCTCTCGCGGTTGTCGGGGAAATAAAATTTAAACCAAAGTTTGTAATTTTATTTATTTTTTGGTTAATGAAGGTGTTGCGAAAAATAGGGAGACTGTGAGTCGTTGGGTCTGCCGACCAATTCATTGAGCACCCATTTGCCCTAATCTATCACCTTGTCCTGCTGTCGCCCCCTCTTTTTGGAGACTCCCCCCGCCACCTCTTTGCATCATTATATGATTATATGTTCAATGTCTGAGTCATACTTGTTTAGGACGTGTTGTCTATGGCTACATACCAGTTCCAAACACCTCTTACATACCCGTTCGAGTCAATACGGGGTGTATGACTAGTCACCAAACACCTCTGAATTTCTCACAACTAATTTGTTTACTGGGTTAGAACAAGTGTTACACGGTCAGTGTTCCGTTGTCACAAGAGTGCAATTCTGAGACCTGAAACTATCCAACAAATCAGAAGAAAGGCCCGAAGACAATCAAACGAACTAAATTGTTGAAACATTTAAAAACCAGTGTAGCATAAGGATCAAAACAATAAAATTGGAGGTTTGGAAGAGGATCATTGTCCCATCTCTATTAGAAAAACAGGATTTGGTATCATATTCCATGTGGAGACACAAATGACTAAAGAATCAAATGAAAATTACAATATTTTATCTTCAATTCCTTCATTATTGACACTTCGTTGTCCTAATAATAATGAACCCTCACATATTATTCACTCCACGCCATTTAGAATCTATTCCATTGAGTTCGAAATGAGAAAAATTATTTAAAGAGAAATTAGCCTAAACTTTTGTAATTATTTAAAGAAGAGTATGATTTGTTGATAGGGGAATGCCAATAATTGACCACAAAAAGTACTACACATCAATTACTTACAATACAACAATTTTAGAAAACATAGCCTCCCATCAAACCAACCATTATAATGCACCAAATTACAAGGAGAAAATGGTAATTTCCCAACCTCTTGCCTTCAAATACAGAATTAAAATGCACCAAATTTTGATTGTCCATTTCTATCAATTTCTACAATAAATCAAAATTAAAATTGGGGCAGTGTAATACCTAAAATGCCACTGGTGGGAGATCGAAGGAAGCCCCACATGTGGTAGGACCCACAGGCACGTGAAATTACCTTTAGCTTATCCAGTGTCACGGCCTTGAATGAGACGATGGGATGGCCGCAATGGGTAGTCACATCAAACGCCCTACTGCCTCCTAAACTTATTTTTTTATTTTTTATTTTTTATTTTTTTAAAAAAATGTGTTATGATTACTACACTAACCCTAAGGTTCCTCTTCATCAAGCCTAGATTCAAATATTTTTTAATAATAAAAAAATTGGTTGCGTTTAATTTTGGCCTGATATTGGTCCCGGCGATGACGTGGCATTGGTTGTTTGAGGTAAAGGTTTCTAAACAGTGAAAGAAAGGGCGATGGAATCACATGCCTCATGTGTAAATCACAAAATAGACTACTACTCTCTTAAATGGATTATGGGTACTTACTTTTTGGGCTGGGCTGGGCTGGGATGGGCCTGGCTCTCGTAGCCCAATACATTTCAATGGACCGGCCCAATTGACCTTGGTCGGTATCCGTGAGTCTCGAGCGCCGCTGCTGGTTAGATTCCGAGGACTCGAACCATGCCGGAATCCGAAGACGGCAAGTTCGACATTGTCGTTGTGCTTCGGCGCCTTCAGAAACTCGCTTGAATGAACTGCTCTAATTCCTTCCGTCCTTGATCTCTGAACTCACTGCGTTCGAAGAAAAAATATAAGCATAAATGTTAGCAAATCGATAAAGGAAAAGAAGAATGGAAGAGAAGAGCGTAGAAGGAGAATCAAGTAAAAGAAACTGTCAAATCACATTTGCAAGAGCCAGAAACCAATCGCCAAGAGATTCGATTCGATCCGATTGAAGAAATTACAGAAGAGATCAGAAACGGATTCTTGAAGTTCTTCGACAAATTTACCTGGATAAGGAGCAGAATCAAATGAATCGAATGAATCCACTTCTCAGCTAATTTTTTATGATCTCGCTTCCTTAAGGAGGAGCGAGGATCGGAAGTTTGAAGAAGATCGCAGTTGGAATCGTGCATTGATGTCCTTCCCGGAGAGCGGCTTCTTTGGGGCTCTTGCGTTGGGATGAAGAAGATTATGCTGCAATGATGGATAGTCGGTCGGACTCTGGACGAATTCAGAGATCTCTGCTAGGGTTAGGAGTTGGAGAAATTATGATGGAATTGCAAATGGGGCTGTGCCTCTGGTGATAGGCTCCATTCAATTTTTTCTATGCTGCTTCTTGTATTTATATTCTATTTTGAATTGCTACATTTAGCGCCAGCGGTGATTTTCGGCGGGAATGTTTATTCTGCGTGCCGGGCACGTGATAATCGAAATCCAAACTCACAATATTACTACAAATTATTTACCTTCTATGTTTGAGACAAATTTCTATCCAACAAAATTTCAAATGTTACACAGTAAAAATTTGAAATTATAACTGACTAACAGGAATAATTAAAAACAAGTTAAAAAAAACCCATTTTCGAAAATGAAATAAAAAGAAAATATATGTATATTTATTTTGAGTTTTTGTTGGTAAAAAATAAATCAAAAGGATTCAAGTGGACCTTTTGAGAACGTATAAGCTAGACCCATTAGACCCATGCTTCAAGTTGTTTCATTCAAAAAATCCGTCAATTTAATTGACTAAGATGTTATCTTAATTAAAATGTAAAAACAAAAAAATTAAAATTACCATAACCAAGAACAAGTTCACAGTAATAGAATGGTAAAAATAAATATTACATTAGTCCATAAAAGTCTATATTTTCAATTATGTCTACTATTTAGGCAAGACACCGTCACTTTCCTAAGAAACTGAAAGAAACGGAGGGGACTAAACAGAAACAAGAGGGATCTACCGAAGAAAATACTTCTCCTTCCTTTTTTTTCGGAAGAAAAGGAGGATCCGAACAAAATCAATGAAATGGAAGAGATCCAAAAAACAAATGATGAATTATACTTTAAAATGACATGCTATCAAAAAATGAAAATCAATGAAATAGAAGAGATCCAAGTAAATGGAAAGGAAAAATAAAGGTTTAAAAGGACATGCTATCAAAAGAAAAAATCCGTTTATAAACTTTTTACCATCTCAATGGAAATAAAGAATATTGTAAAATGACTTAGATACAAATGAAAAAATGTGATAAAAAAAAAATAATCTTAAATAATCTTTAGAAATAATTTTTAAAAAATGTGCATAATTGATTTTTTAACTTTTAAAATGTCAAATTTTTATTTTTTTATTTATTCTGTTCTACCAAAAAGTCACATTTTAAATCTCAAATTTGTGTGATTAATATATTAACATATTTTTAAATTCATAAATGTAGACGTTTAGTGTCTCATTAAGCACTAGATAATCCACAATTTGTAAGGGATAAACAATCATGATTCTACTGCAAAATAGTAACTTCGAAAATGGGCAAGTTTGGGGAAAATAGTAACAGCTGGTGGTATTATTTTTCATAAGGAAAGTCCCGCAAGCTTACCTTGTGCAACCGCCAAAAGGCAAGACCAATTAAGCTATCAAAAAACATACTTAAACAACATAAACCAACTCTCCAAATTGCCAGCGAATTCAAGAAATCTAATATCAGTAACAGCAAAAAAGCTTCCGAGGGTCGGCGTTTGAATTTATGGGGCATTTAAGCATCCGCAAATCTGCAAAGGCGTCAAAATGTTTGGTCATGCAGCCACTTCCAGCATCCCAAAGGAGATATGTTTGATTCGAATTAGAATTTGAACTTACCCCAGCTCGGAGAGCTTCAGATGAGCTTCTGCATAATCTTTAAAAAAGGCATCTTCATCCTGATGAAGGGAAAGCATGTTAGAAATCACGACTGTCCATAATAGTATGATATTGTCCACTTTAAGCATAAACTCTCGTGACTTTACTTTGACTTCCCCAAGAAGCCTCTTCCCAATGGAGATGTGCTCCTTATTTATAAACTAATGATCATTCCCTATATAAAATAACACCCTTCACAATGGTATGATATTGTCCACTTTAAGCATAAGCTCTCGTGGCATCACTCTCCAACAATGGTATGATATTGTCTACTTAGTAGCATAAGCTCTCGTGGCTTTTTTTTAATTTTCCAAAAAAATCCCATACTAATGGAGAGGTATTCCAACAATCCTCGACAAAACATGTTAACAAAGCACCGACTAATCATTACTAAACTTCAAAACGTAATCGATATTTTTGTCAAGTGAGAGATTGATATACCGCAGCATATTTTTCAACAAGAGGACGGAAGACGGAATCGGTCAGAAGCGCCTTATCAGATGGCAGCTGAAGAAGCCCTTGCTTCTCTCCAGATACGAGCTCCCTGATATGACGAACAAAATTGCCTAATATTCACAATGGAATCTGTATATTATCGAGATTGATTTCAGTTGGAAAGCAAAACTCACTTGAAGTATGCGTTGTCGAAGACAAGAGGATTGGATGTCCAAGGACCTTCAAACCCAGATCGATCCTTGTGAGCTCTTCCCTGAAAATAAGAACATAGTCATGACCCTGCCAATAAAAACAGTTTTTAAAGACGCAATCAAAGAGATTCAGAAATGAACAGACCAGTGTGTGACCACCAGACAGAGCAACGATGTCCTGGTCACTTAGACCCATTGTGTAGAAAACTTGCCTTAAATGATCACATCCTAAGAAAAAATGGTTAGATTAGGTCCTAGTTCATTGTGCGTAGGGCTACAATAAATGGTTTAGCATCAAAAGTATGGGAAAATTCCAGCACTCTAAGTGGTATATAATCCCTCATCCTAAGAATCCTATATAATTCTTGAATGTTGCTGTCGTGATCATAAATATGATCTGTAGTACAGAATGAATTAATTAATACCGCGTAAAACTTTAGAAGAAATCTCTGAAGCTACTCCAAATGTACTAACCTTTTCCGGCATCGGGAAGGCGGCCTTCAGGCGGAGGCTCAGGCTTGTCCTGATGTCGGGAAATGCCAAGGATATAATCAGCATTCAAATGAAGTACAAGATAACGGTGCTACATGAATGAATTCTTGCGGACAAATCAAACAATACAAGCAATAGAACTATATGGATGATTATTGATGGAAAAAAAAACAGATCATAGGCTTGGCAATCAGAATTTCTATGAAGAAAACAAAGCAACGTTGAATAAATCTCTCGACGATCCGTTCATCTTTCGCGAATAGAAAATCGACGGATTAGCAAACCATCACAAAAGAGCTTCAAACACTAATTACACCACGAACATGATCCTAATAATGATAGCATAATCAGGAATCCACTGGTAGCAGGCAGCAGGCACTAAAACAGTCTGACAAATAGAATAAAAAAAAACGGATATCGTGTCTGGTAAAGCTTAACGTACCACTCTGCCAGGATGAAACGGAACCTCGGGCCCACCGGTAATTTCAACCGCAACAACCCCGGCGAGCTATATAAGAAGATAGAAACATTACACCATTAATTTTCTCTCGGTTTCACATTCAACACAACGATTTCATTTTTTCACAGTAATATTTAACGAAATGTGCGAAAATAAACGATCACAATAATAACGCTATACCTGATAGAAGTCACCGTATGAAAGGATCGGCACCTGTTCCTTAATCGGCTCCAACAGCTTAACAGCGATGTCAAGGCCATTGTTAGCACCATGTGCGAGTTCCGCTGCGTGCTTCATCGTTCCGAAGGGACCTCCCGTCTTAGACTTAGCATCATACGTTCCGGCAGAGTGCCATCTGCAATCACAAAGCCAGAGTAAATCATCGCCATTGACAATCAACGATTCATATTCAATCATCATCGGACAGAGAAACCGACGCGAGACGAAGCATTAGAGGAGAGCAGTGCTTCTCAGCAACGAGAGCTCTAATCTTCCTCCTCGCCTTCACTACAGCCTTCTGGTATTCCTCGCTAACAGCCGGGTAGCTCTTCCCCATCACTGAGATTTTACAAACAAAACAAATCAATTCGCAGAAACTGATTGATAAATCGATGAAATCGAACGAAATCAAAAATGAAAATCAAATGCCAACCTTGAAAGCACAAAATCAAACAAGCGAGCACTGGTCACAGAAATGGCACGAAACAGGCACGGGATTGATATTTGATAGGTTGAAAACAGAGCTGAATGATTTAAAGAGCAACTATTACATAATTTATAAGGTTCTAGTGGCTTAATTTTGGCCGTTGGATTTCCTTTTCGATCCTGCGGCTCTTGTTCGGCTTTTGGGATTGAATGGCTGCGATTGAATTTAGAATGCCCTCTGTACGGTCATACAATATGGCCGCACTGGCCGGTTACTCGCGAGTAAATATTAGAAACAACAATAAAAGGTCAAAATGGAAATGACCGTAATGCCCTGGCAGTTGAGAGTTGTGGGGAGAGCGGATCCGGTGTCCTCGTGTATGGATCCGGTTCTTTGCCGCATACTTCTCTGGGCCCGGTGGGCTTAATGTAACAACCAACTTGGCCCAAATTTCATTTTGGGCTGATTCTTGGGCCCATATGTTCAAGTGCTTTTACGTAACTGCCCTTCTTCCAACCCTGTATGAAAATCATTGCTTCATCAACCGACGCTAATTGGATACACGTGTATAAAATTTTTTATTAAATATATCTATCTATATATATATTTCTTTTTAATTAAATTATTTTATTTAAAAATTAATCCGTACAACACTTATCTAGACACTATTGCATATAATGTCGGCTTAGCGAACAAATTGTGAATAAAATTATTTGAGTTTATTTAATTTGCTTCTAAACCAATTTGTAATATATTAACTTCTTATCTATCATTATCTTAAATAATTCTCTCTAAATCTTTAGTTATTTATAAGATCTTGTTTAGTTAGACGAGTGGTTGAAATGTGCGTGAATAATTTGTCTAATAATTTAAGTTGATAATAATTATTCACAAATATAAAATTATTATTGTCGTAAAAATTAAATTTTTAAATTTATATAATTATTAGAAAGAATGATATTTTAAACTACTAACTAAAGTTTAGAGGTATAAATTGATTTTTATCAATCTAATAATGTTGTTAGCCAATATTTTGATGTGAAAAATAAAAAATTATATATGTATAAATTAATATATTATTTAACTTCAAATTATTATTTTCGTTTATATATTTTAATAATGTGGTCAAATTTCTCTTGAATAATAAACAAAAAGAAATATTTAATTTAAAAGGTATA